GGCCCCACCCCATGTGAGTGTTATGTCATCCTCTATGTGAATAATTATGTACTCCAAGCAAGACCCAATAATATTTTTCATCACATCAATAACTTTTCCTTTTTTTAACCACATATTACTCATCACATCAACCAACAAAATGCATTCTCTCCACAAAAATGCCTACCAAACAGAGGCTTAAAATAAATGATGACTGTGCAATTTTCGAAACTAGAAGTGAGTCTTTGAAATTGTCATAAATCTCATTGCAGCTATGTGCTATTCAAAAATTGAAATGAAAGAGGTTTATGTAATTTTTGAAAAGGGATAGGGCTTCTCTGGTATGGTCATAGACCTCAGGGAATTATTCAAATTTTAAAGTAAGGGAGGTTTTGTAATTTTTTAAAATGGAAGGGTGCCTCGTAAATTTTCATAGAACTCAGAAGAGTTGTCTATAATTTGCCATTCTTTAAATCAGCCTTCCATCTAGGGGTGAGGAGTGGGACAAGCCATACCTCTTGACTCGCTTAAGCGATGTATGGCTTGGCTTGTTCCACGAGCTCACCCTTTGATGGGAGCAGCTCACAAAGACATTTTGTTTTAATGAAATTACATTTTTCACTCATTTTGACTAGTCGGTTAGCAGCTTGAACAAGAAATCTATGCTCGGCTTGTGACTGTAGCTCACTAGCAAGCCGATGAGCGACTTACCACACTACCTTAACTACTTCTATCTCTTCTACCCGACGTAAAGAGGAAAGTATCATTTTAGCCATAGAAATGCAACAGACAATTGCAGATAAAGATTATGTTCCAGAACCATTATTGATAAATTAAAAGTTGTTTCTACGATATAGTCAAAGTTAAACTTTAATTTCAACCAAACTACTACTCATTATTTACACATTTCATGATTCCCTTTAAAAGCTCGTTAAAATTTACTATGAAGGCAAAATTGCCCAACTTTATATAAAGCATTTGTTTGGAACTTTGAATTTCATTTTTAGTTGTTAAAATTATAAGATGGTAGAAATGAGTTGTGGCTAAATGGATAATAATTTTAAGTCTTACAAAATGTATGATAAAAATTAATATTTCACTTTGAAAAGTAAAATTTTAGCCATTCAAAAGGAAACCAAACAATGGTAAACTGCTATCATTTGCTTCTTAATCTTAGACAACACTTTTCATGTATGAGAATGTTTGGCTGTGCTTATGCTTGGAAATAAGTACCCATCGTATAGCTAAAATCCTAGAAGATAAGCATCTTTTAAGCATAAGCTCACCCAAACGTGCCATCTCATTTTATGTATTACTGAAACTAAAGATCTGTTTGATTGTAAGGATGAAAAATTAGTGAAAATAAATGAATTTCAGAGAAAGTGATTGTCTAAAAATTATTTTGCAGGGAATTGTTAATTAAGTGGGTTTAATTGGTATAATTTTTCACTCGAAAAATTTTTAAATTTTGTGTTCATTTGACTTTGTTTTACATGAAAATTGTCCATTAAAATGATAAATTTTTTCCACAATTAGTTATAAAATTTGTTTTCATTGCTTAAAAAAAAATCAAAAATTTTTTCCTAAAAAATTATTTTTTTATCAAAATTTTGTGTTCATTTGACTTTGTTTTACATGTAAATTATTCATTAAAATTAATTTTTTTTTTTTAAACAATTAGTTATGAAATTTGTTTCTATTACCAAAAAAAAAAAATGATGGCAGAACCTGAAAAAACCTTTTCCGTATTTTGAAGGAAAAAGGGCACGTGGGTTTGGGGGTGGGTGGGGACATTTTTTCTTGGCCGAATTTGTCCAATCAAACACTTGTTTTGCATGAAAATGGAATTTAAATATCAAGTTTCATGGAAAACAAGTGTAATCAAACATGGCCTAAGAAACCTCAAGGAATCCATTAAATTAAATGAAATTGTTAAGCAAGATCTTAAAACTAAACTGTTTCTTGAAGATTGGTTAAACCATAAACACTCGCGGCTAGTATTAAATCGGACTAAATCGAATCTTCACCTGGTCAGATTTTTAATTATGTCCCCATAAATCAGATTTTTAGTAGATTTTTATAAAAAAAAATGATGAAATATGTGATTTAAAAGTTATGAGTCCTATACAATACGTAGTTAAAATTAATTGTTAAGTTAATATTGATTTAAGTTAAAATCTAAATTTTGATTTCTATCAAGCAGGAGCAATATATAAATTTGTGTCGCGAGGCATGAAACAAGATTTAGAGGGTATTTGGTGGAAATTAAAATTAGATTTTAGTAGATTGTGATAAAAAAATTTTAAAATGTGTGGTTAAAAAGTTGTGAGATCCAAGAAAGATGTGGTAAGATGGATTGTTTGACTTTGACTTAAATTAAAATCAAATTTTAATTCGGACCAAATATGAGCTTATATGAATAAGAAGTTTTAGACGAGTTGTCAAATAAAAATAACAATCATGCTACATGTACACTTCATTTAACATTAAGTTTGACATTGTACCACATGTTGTGACATGAGTGGACAGTTTTAAAATAAAATATACTTTCCCGCCTATTTGCATTTAAAAATACATCGAGTGTCAAACTTCAATATCAACCAATTAATGTATAAGAAATTTTATTCTAAAAATAAATGGATGTTGAAATTAACAAGGGAAAAATTTCCATCCAAGAATATTTCCATTGTCATCATCGAGAATTTTGATCACTAATGATATTAATATTTAGCTAAAACAGGAGCTCGAAAAAGGAAAATTACTAATAAGCGGAAGAAGCTGTTAATAAATCCTTTTTATTTTCTCACTGTCACTTATTGGTCCATCATCCTGGTAAAGATCAGGAAGAAGATGACAACCCATCAGTAGCACCGCCGTTATTATCAATGTGAAAGTGGTTGTTGTAGTGCGTAGAGGCGGCGGTTGTGGTATCAAATGTACTATTTTTACTGTCTGTAGTCCTATGATCCCTCGTTGCAAAAATATTTTTGTTGTTATGCATCCACACTTTCAAGATCCCTTTGTCCACACCAATTTCACGGCAGAATTCTTTGATTGTATCTTCGTCTGTTTTCTGCGTCTTCCACCCGACATTCTCCGCAAATTCCAGCATTTTTTCCTTCTGATCTTGAGTGAATTTTGTTCTGGAACGCTTTCTGCGGTTTGACCAGGGGGATGATTCAGGGTTAACAATGGCGGAAATCGGCATGTTAGTATCTGACGGCGGACCCAACAAGCCGGAACCAAGAGACAGCAGCATGTGCGGTGCTGAGGGGTAGTACGAGGAGGATATTGGCGGAGGGGACAATGAATTTGGACTGCTGCTGTTTGGCGGTGGCAGAGGATGGTGGCGGTGACGGGGATGGTACTCCAGAGCTGCGACTGTATTAGGCGCCGGGAGTGTCAGTGACTCTTCAGTCTTACGGAGGTGGAAGTTGCGGTGGCAGCCACAAGCAGCACATTTGAGAGAAGTGGGATCAGAAGAATTAGCTGCGGCGGAGGGCATGAACTCTCCACAACCGTCAACGGCGTGACCACCCATGGTGGCGGCGTGATTCTTGAGACATTCTTTGTATGTCACCATCACGGGGTGTTGAAGGTGATGGAGAGGCGGGTGACGCTTCAGTACGCCATTGGTGAAGGATAAAGGCTTGTTTGTCTGAGGCCCAATTGGAGTTTCAGTCTCATTTTCGAAGGTTTTGATAGCAGCTGTGGCAGTTGAAATGCTTAACTCCATGGATGAAACACCCAAGATTTAAATAACCTCAACCGTTACTAATGTTTCGTTAGTTTTTGGCCTTCAAAAGTTGATTACAAAAAAACAGATGATGATGGTAGGGGGTGGTTGATGATAACTGTAGATAATAAAAATCTTGGTTATGTGGTTGTGCTTCTTAACAACTGGTTGGTTTAACTCAGTGTTCTAATGGCTGGTTAACTTGGGAATGAATCATATAATAGTACTAATGCAACCGTTTTGACTCGCTATTATAATTTTGAGTTTTTTTTTTTCTTTTGAAGTATTAATTTCTGAGTCTTTCTACATGTCTAAGTGGCATTATTGCATTGTAGAATTAATCTACTTTGCCAGAATGAGGTGTGGCAATAAGTGATTGCATGGTAGTGTTGACTATTTTTTAAATTGATCTATAACAAGACGTCACATGGCATTCTATCAATGAATGTGACAAAATTATCTCATAGTATAACGATGTTTATGAAAGATGAAAGAGAGAGAAGTGAATTCGTACTCGTAAAATGAGAAAAGTTATGGAGCTCAATAATCATTTAAGACATTTTGACTGCACTAAGATGCCAATTGATGATGGTGAGTTATTCTCTTGGAGTTAGCATAAACAAAGTCTTTGAGAAAAAGAGTCTTGGTCCCTTCTTTAATACTTGACGATAACGGGGAGCATGTTGTGGAACCAACCTCCTTCTCCATTAGTACCTTTCAATGTGACCACTAAAAAATTGCTTATACAGTAAATAGTTGATTATACATACTTACTAAAAGACCGACCTTCATTCATTATAATTAGGTCAACGTGAAACTAAGAAAGAGAAGTGTGCATAAGGCGGCACGTGAACAAATTGTGCACGCTAAGAGAACAGAGATGCTCTCAAGTACAACCACAAGAAAGTGGACCCTAACTTCATCGAGTCTCGGTGAAACTTTCAACTACAGATGAGGAAAGGCTTGGACATATTGCAATTCCCAGTAATGCCTCTATCGACTTCATCTTGTTTTTTGTTAGCTTGAGTAACGAACTTGATCGTCTCAATAACATTGAATATCCATATATATTTCCTTTTTTAATAGAAAGTAGTCGGCCCACTTCTAGTTATTCACGTGATCATGCACGTTCTAACCCTACCATACACCCCTATCATCAAATTATAAAGGGATACTTTTGAACTTATCTATAATGGATCAAAGCAACCATTAGTCGAATTGATTTGGATAAGCAATCGGAAGGACGCATACCTCCTCCATATCCATTAAATGGGCAAGACTCAGATATGGCATGCAAGAATTATAATAATTTACTGCTCAACTATTTAGATCTTGATTGATTTGGATGCAATGGAATTTTATTATTACTCCAAAAAATAAAAATAAAAAGCCATCTCATGAGTATGCATAACCCCACAACCTATATAAAGCATACATCTATGTCGAGGGAGTAGGTCAAAGTTTTTTATAAGAAAAGTAAAGAACTTGAATTGGAGAAGACGAAAACCCCTACATTTTAATTTATGCCCCTGTGATTTTTAGGAGAATATGTTGCTTAAAAATTATGAAAATTTTATGGATTTACCTGCAAAATATTTTGTTATGTGAATTTGTGATTGAAAATGAGTAAGTAGAAAAAATAGTTTAAAAATAATTATTGTCAAACAGAGATTAGGCCCTGTTTGGTACACATTATTTTTTTTATTCTCATTCTTCTACTCATTTTCAACCACAAATTCTTCAATAAAATAATATTTTTCATCATATCAATAACTATTTCTTCATTTTTAACCACACATTTTCCATCAATCTACTATTCAATAATACATTCTTTCAAAAAAATGTGTCCCAAACATACTCTAAATATTTATCCAAGTGATTAAAATACATTTATCATTTTCCTTGTTTGGTGGCCTTAAAATTAAAAAATATAGTTTTGAATAGTATTTTTTTTTGGAAAATGTGTGGTTAAAAAGTAACGAAAATTTTTGACTTTACATATAAAATTTTTTATTGTGTGAATGCGTGATTGAAAATGAGTTTGAAAAATAAATCAAAGTAACGTAACTAAAATCAAACAGGGGATAATAGAATTATATTCAACACGTAATGATAGTGGATCTTACTATTGATTCAACAACTCTATAAGTTAAGATTCAAGAACGATGCTAGATGTACACACTTGGTTCACATTAAGTTTCACATCCCCTTCACATGAGATTTCTGTACATGTTTGAATCTTCAATAAAGCTAAATATATACATTTGGTTCACATTAAGTTTCATATCCCCCTCACATGGGGCACCCCATGTGAGGGGGATATAAAACTTAATGTGAGCCAAATGTATATATTTAGCTTTATTGAAGATTCAAACATGTACAGAAAATAATTTTCACCTTTAGTTATCTACAAAAACTTGTGAGTTAGTGGAATATGCAAAGCTAATGTGACTACAATTACATGGTTCTTAATAGTTAACATGAGAATCATATTCAAGCGATAGTGCTCTTTTGAAATTTGAAAAATAAACATCAAACAAATCATCAAGATATCGAACTTCTGTTGATTTTTTTTTTCATTATTATTATTTTATATTTGAAAGGAGTTGAATCACGTGCCTTGTCCGAGTTTTGAATGCAGGGATGACTCATTGAGTCATTGGTGAGTTAACAACGAGTTTGGTTAAGCATGAGAGTTTGAAATATTGCATACTATTATCTGTGTTGACGTAAATTATAAGCAGAAACGGAAGAGGGCATGAGCAGATCAGAATCCATTTAACGCTCAACCAAACTTTTGTTTAGGAGTCTAGGACACACCAAACCTTTCATTTTTATATTTTTGTAAGTCTTATTATTTCAAAACTTTTTTTTATTTTTATATATTTATTTTTAATCACATATTAATATAATAAAATATTTCACACGTAAATTCGAAATTATTTTTTATTTTTTAATCACACATTATCCAAAATTTCATTTTTTAAAACATTATTTTTAACAAATAATGACCACCAAACAAGTGCATAATACATGTTTCACTTTTTTTTCAATTTTCTTTTTCTAAATTATCCACTTTGAAAATTGAAATTCTATTTTCTTCAATTATAGTGTACTTTTTTGCGTAGGCTCATTGGTGCAAAATTCCCCCAATCTTTAACTCTTTTACATAATACTTCATATCCTTTCAAATTGACGAAAACTCCCTTATATGACACTTGAGGTGCGAAATACCCTCTATAGTCTAATTTCGTAAGTTTATGCGTTAAAAACAGTAAAAATTGTCAAAATTTAAAAATGATAATTGTAAATGTGATCCCAAACTTTTTGTTTTTTGGAGATTATACCCAAATATTTTATTTGATTATCTACAATTCCAAACCTTAAAATTTCTGTCTTGTTTCTCAATTTTTAAGTGATGATTTCTGTGAATTTTTTAGAGATTTGTATAAAATTAGTTGAAGTCATTTGTAAACTTTTATAGATTTTCATTTTAAAACTTTTATAGACTTTTCTATAATTCAAAAAACGTTTGAAACCTTTCATTTGAAATAGAATTCATGTGAATCTTGTACAATATTGTGAAATTATCACATACGAGATGGTGGTTCTCGCAATTTCCCTTCTCTTTTCCGTTCCCCACCCCAAAAAAATAATTTAAAAAGCATAAAAATTTAAGACCTTAATTAATTAAATAATAATAATAATAATAATAATAATAATAATAATAAAAAGTAAATTTAATATTCAATATTATTATTATAATATACCTTTAAAGAATAAATGAAAAAAAAATATTTAAATTTGATTATAAATTAGTCTTTATAAAATGTTATAATTTAATTAAAATAGATATTTTTCACAAAAAAAAAAGAATGAAAAAAGGAAAAAATAAATTTATAAGAACACAATTTAATTTTTTTTTTTTATAGAAAATAGAAATAAACAAAAAGAGAGAGATAGAAAAAATAAATTTTAATCATAACTCTAATATTCGTAAAAGGGAAAATGAAAGAGAAATATTGGGAAAAAAAAATACATATTATTTTCTTTTTTTTTTTCCATGAAAATATCCCAAAATCTTATGATTAATGAGAGACAATTTAGAGATTTTATTTTAATACTTTCCGCTTAAAGGTTAGTACCATGAAAACTTTTATAAAAGTCTTTAATAGCCATTAAAATTTGAATACCTAAAACTTATAAAAACTTTTAATTAAATACTCCGTGACTTTTAAAGATTTTTTAAAAGTTTATAAAAGTCCAAATTGAATACACAAATATTTTTAAAGAGTCTCCAAAATTCTACAATGAATATTCCTAAACTTTTTAAATCTTAAAAAATTATTAAAGTCTCAATTGAATACGCCCTCCTAGTAATTTCAGAAGCCAGAAAATAGAACTTGAACTCCTCTCTCCAATCTCCTCTTCATTCAGATGCAAAAAAAAGGCACCAATTTGCTCATTCGGAGGGTGTTCGAGTTGGTGGAGTAGGTGAACGCGGAAATCAAAGGTCACGAATTCGAATTCCCTACCAACACTTTCTCAATCGAACCCTTGGCATCGGGCTTGCCTAGTGTGATTTACCTTTCATGTGCGGTTTGCGGGCTACTGCATATAAAGCGTAGTTTACCAGTGCGCATTCACAGTGGTAGGGGCTCTACGACGAGTAACAGCTGTGGATTCCTACGTCAAAAAAAAAATAAAAAAAAATAAAAGCACCAATTTTACTCCTATTCTCACAAAACCCAACATTTTCCTCTTCTAAACAGAGTTATTCTGATGATGTGACATGGCACTGATTAAGTTGGGCTAATTTATTGTACACTCCAAAGATCTAGATCCAATGCTAGAAAATTAGATAAGTCATCACTGTAGTCCAATTAGTTGGCATTTGTTATGTAATTATAATTCAACCACACATTAACATATTCCGGTCTTTATATTTTTCTAATTGAAAGAATCATCGTTGATCAGATCAATTTTACATGCTCTTCCGT